CAACAATTATATGGACATTGTTTTGACACCGATACAATAAATAATATAAGCAGATATATACAAAACAAATGTACAAACAGCTATGTAAAAACCTTAAAAAGACATCGTTTTCTTTGTATCAATATTGGGCAGTGACGTTTCCAACTAATATAACTCTTACGCGCGGAATATAAAAATACAAAAGTTTATAATAATCTACCGAAAAAATGCATTCCGATTCATCGATTGGAACTCGGTTTGGCCGGAAATTGACGCCAATTGCATAAAATATTCAAATTTCCAGGTTTTGGTAAAAAAATTAGTTTTTGGAGCTTAAATAGAAAATAATTGGTTTTACTCATGGTCTGCTAGTTTCTGGCGTTAAATAGGTGCTTTTTCTGTTCTTTATTGACTAGGCAATAGAAAGGCGTGAAAGAATTCTTAAGGGATGGCACTGCACTTCGCTAATTAGAAAGGCCTCAATAAAATTGTTAAAAGCGAACAGTCTAGAACTGAAAAATTGGCGAAGCTAAAGAAGCTCACACGATTTTCTTGCAATTCTCCACTTCGTGCATTCAGGATATTGCAAACACAGTCTGGGGTTATTTTTTTACGGTTGTTGTGTTAGTCCAAACGGCTCACGAGCAATGTAAAGTCAAGTGTGATCCTGAAGTGGATTGAAAAGCTGAAATTTCCGAGATTAGATTGGAATACGAAAGGCTCGTGAACTTTTGTCGGGCAAGACACCGAAAACAAACAGCATTAACAACAAGATAGAAAATTATGGTTGAAACGCGAACATTTCAAACAATGACGAATGAAACAAAAGTGTGTTTTTGAAAATACTTTCTAACTAACTTTCGAAATGAATAAAATCTGATTGCTGGGAGCTGTTTGATTGCTGTTTGAAGCGCTTTTTAGTTCATTTTTTTTACTATTTGTCCGAATTTTTTCCAATAATTAGAAATTGCAGATAAAGTTTCTACACGGCGGAAAATAAAACTTTGTCGCATTTTTTTGGGAGAACAGAGTTCATACCTCAAAACCGGCTTTGAATTTTTAGTAATTTTATGAAATATTTAAAAATTCGTATCAGATAGTTAAAAATACATTTTCTGATTTTTCCATAGTTTGCATTTGAAAATCGACCCTCGAATCGCTGCAGAAAATAAAATTTTTCAATGTTTGCAGCATCTGTTTGGCGCGCTGATTTTATTTGTAAAATTTTGCGGTTTTTTTAATTTGCGAAAATTTTCCAAGAAAAGATGCGAGCGCTAAAGGGATGCAGTAATAATTGAATGATCACGGATGCAAGCGGTTGAAGCGATTCCAGGAGCAGATTTTCACCAGTAAACCTTAAAAAAACTAGAAAATTTATTATGCAGTTTATACAGCTGAAGTTTTCACCTTTTTGAGAAAAACATTCGTTTAAGGAAATTTTCAATTGTCGACTTTTTCGCAGAGTTTTAAAGTGCTAAAAAATGCACATTTTTGGTGCTTGCGAAACAAACGTTTAAAAATTGCGTTGATGACCAACGAAAATTATAAGTTTATAGCTCGATTTTAACAGTTTGGATCACTGATGTTTGCAATGTCTAGTTAGAAGTTACGTTAGTGTCTGTTCAAGTTACGTCAAGTTCAAGTCCAACGAAAATGTATTTTCAATCGATTTTGTATGCAGAGTGATCTAGAAAAATGAATTTTTGATTTTGCAGTGTTACACCTTTGTCTCTTAGACCGATTTTCAAAATCCAGAGCTTTTTTTAAAGCTGAAACGTCACAGACAAAAACTCAATATATGTGCAAATTTCCGTTAAAAGTGACCCTAATCAGAGCTGGCACCGAAATCTGGGATTATAATCCATTTTTAAGTAAAGAAAATTCACTTTCAAACAACTTTGGTATTGAAATCCACATAATTTTTGTGTCTAACTGGGAGCATGCGAAACGTTCAGACACTTTGCGTTGTTTCATTTTCCATCCTGTAGAAAATTCGTCTGACTTTCTGGAATTTTGCAAATCCACTGACGGGAAAAAAGATGATTGGACTAGATAAGGCTTGAAAAATAAATCAAAGCGGTTGCAGCAATTAATTATTATTCTCTTCCAAAGTTGGACCAAATTCGGCCGTGCATAAACCGATGTTCTGTTGAGCAAAAAATGTTTATATTTTGCTTCATTTGCAAACAGATTAACGGTATCTTAACATTCCAAAAACTTGTCTCAAAACCTACTTATGATAGTGTGAACACGACTGTAGATTACTAAGGCCAAAGGTAAAAAAAACCTCTTTTTACAATTTTTTTTTCAAAATATATTCTTTCCTGTAAGTTTTACAGTATTTGAATTTATTACGAATATTGTAGCCGATTAAATTGTCTACAACTTTTGTTTCAAAATTTTGTTCATACGCTAAACCGTTTTAGAGATAGAGGGCGGAGAAGCGTGCAGTGTTTAACTATGTACAGGGTCATTGATTGAACTTTGGCCACCCCGTTTTAACATATAATTTAAAAATTAGAGAAAAACGTTTAATACAAAAGTTGTCGATATCAACGTCTAGTTTATTTTAAGATAGTACCAATTGATGAAGTATAATCAATAACTCTGTACATAGTAGGCCTGGAAAACACTGTGTTGAGCTGCGCTATTGAGTTGTTGCCACTCCCTGAGTTAACGAGCTATAACTCATTGGTTCATGAGTTATAAGTGATTTATTAAAGCTTTACGAGACCCGCCGAGACTGGAATTTTCACATCTAAAAAGGGTCATTGACATTTTTTCTGATTAAGTTTTTACTACTTTTGTTCAAACAACTAAAAAAAAGTAAACTCGATTTTCCCAGCAACAGAACTGAGTCCAAAGACAGTCGACGAGTTTTCTTGTAAAATCGATCTCTTAATTTTTTTGCTGAAAAGATTCAGTTTTCCAGTATTTTACAGTAAAACGTTAGGAAAAACGCGGTTTTTCTGTTTAGAGACAGTGCTGTTTAGAAATATTGACCTAAAAGTGAAGAAACTCCAGTTTCCAAGAGTTTTCCAAGTAAATAATTATAAACTTTTTTTTTAAATATATATTTTCGAAAAAAGGCCAATAATTATTATGGTTTTGTCCATAATTCGAAGCTGCAAACAGTTTTCCAAAAATGTTTTCAAAGCTGTTAAGGAGGCGAATGTTCCAATAAAATGTATTTTTTATTTTTTCACAGAAAACACCTGAAGATTGTCAGTATTTCAACTAAACAATAATGCGATTTTTGCGTAGAAAAAATTGCTTAATAGAAACTTTGTTAAAACTGGAATGATCTGAAAACTTAAAGGAACTTTAAAAACCTTCAGAGTGATGAGGGCGGCGAATTTTCCAAATAATTTTTGGTAAACTTTTGCTCTCTGGTCGTTTTTCCAAGATAATCCTAATTACTTTCGGTAAAAAACTGAAAAAAATTATTGGGGTTTTGTGTCAAATTGGAAGCTGAAAAGGGTCTTCTAAAGTTCCTTGCAAACCGATGAATGAGGCGAATTTTCAAGCAAATATAATTTTGTCATTTTTGGCCTCATTATTGTAAGAAAATCAGAAAAAAATGTTTTTTTTTGCGTTTTCGATTAAAAGCTTTTAGTTTTGTGATTTGGAATTTATTTTAGTTCTTGTCCCGAATTCGACGATGAAAAAGTTTTTGTAAAATTTTTACAAACTTGTAAATTTACCTTGTATTTTTTCACGTAAAAGAACTCCAGATCGTCAGAACTTTTAAGTGACGCTTTACAAAACAGAGCGTTTTTGAGTAGAAAGTAAAGAAAAAAAATCAGTCAAAACAAAAAAACAAAATTTTTTCAACAAACTTCAGTCTTCTCACTCAAACTCAGTCACTCAAACAGTCTTCAGAGGTATGGAGGTGACGCAATTTCCAAATAATCTTTCGCGTATTTTGTTCGTTTTTTGATAGAAAATTATTTGAATTTTGTCCAAAATTCGAAGCTGGAAAGGGATTTCAAAACTTTTTACAAAGCGACGAAAGATTGGGAATTTATTTCATAATTTTTTGCTGAAAAGACCTTAAGATTGTCAGCATTTTTAAGTGAAACTTTAGAATATTGGGCATTTAGAAGAAAGAGTGCATTGGCTAAAACTGGAAAATTCTGAAATTTTGAAGAAGTTTTAAAAATATTATTAACAAATGGCCCACATGGCAAACCATTTGCGTAGCACTGCCCAACTCCTAAAAATTCACTGAGTTACCCAGGCCTAGTACATAGTTAAACACTGCGCGCACTCCGCCCTCTATCTTTAAAACGGTTTCACGTATAAAAAAAATTCTGTACGAAAAATTGTAGAGAATTGAATCCACCACAATATTCATAATAAATTTAAATACCGTAAAACTTATCGGAATCGAAACATTTGCAAGAAATGCGTAAACCTAAAGAAAAGAAAAGACTACAGTCGCGTTCACACTATCATAAGTAGGTTTTGAAACAAGTTTTAGGATGTTAAAATAAAGGTTTACACGAGTTTGCAGCTTGTTATCTTGAATGCCGAGATTGTTACCCTATTTTGACTGATATGACTGGACTATCAATCCAAATGCTTTAAGTCCTTTAAGATAAAATGCCGGGAAATTTGCAATTTCCTCAGTCAAAATCAAAATCTCAATGTTCAAATTCCGTTAGCGGCCGAAGTTGTTGCCCTTAAGAGACGAAACTGCTTAAAGCACAAGGGAGACTAATACTTAGTGAACCTTTTAGTTTAAATTCCTAAAAATGGATTTTCAGTAAAAGTTTTGAACAAGACAACACAAAAGTGTTTGAAACCAAGGAATAATACTCATCCCTTCCTGCTCGCATTTTATACAAATACTCCAAACCAAACTCCAATCCATCAATTTCCTACCTAAAACAAACGAAAGCAATTCAACCATCCTAACTAACTTCATTATTCATAAATATATAGTCAATCGAGTTGTCCATATAATTTTGATAATATCTCCTTCATTTATTCCTACAATTACTTTATATATTTTCATGTAAATATATATGCTTATAAGGTAATTTTCGATGTAAGACCAATGGCATTGTAGCTTTACAATGAGATTTCTTTCGATTTCTGGGTATAGAATCAACTAGTCAGAGATTGGGGCAGTGAACGGTGAAAATCAGACTTTGAGTGTGGCAGTGTTTGAGTAATTTAATATTGATTGGATGAGGCGCGAAAGCTGGACATTGTGTGATGTAACTTAATCGTAAAAATGGTAAGCTAGCCGACTACAATGCCATTTCTCACATAAACAAGGCAACTTACTCAGACTTATGTAACGGAAATCCGCAGATAACCTTCGCGTCAAAAGGAATTTCCTTATTTTTTTACCCAGCTTAATGCGAGAGTTCGCAATCGAGCAGGGTCTTGCCGGTAAGTCATTTAGGCAAGCTTCTATTGACTCCTTGCGAAACGGAAACAGTTTAAGAATACAACCGGGCTTTCAAAGGGAGACCTTGCTCAAAACCAACACCTTTGAAGAATTTTTCTCGCCAAGAAAACTCAATGAAAATATTCATAGATGCCGATTAAAATCGACTGGCAATGCGCTTTTGTACTTCATGGATTCAGATGTCTGATACGCGGGGTTTTTTAATGCATTATACAAAGTACTATTGCTGAGCCAACAATCGGGATTCTTGGCCACCCTGATTTGATAACTCGGTAAAGTTTAATCGGAATTGCGTGGGGAAAACGAAAAATTCTTCAAAGTTAAACTAGGGTAAGTCAAGTGCATGAGAATGCAAGTCTTTACAAATGGGTCCAATTGCGAGCGCCCACTTACACTAAATGATCGGAACGTAAATTTCCCACCATAAAACCGCTCAAAACAACACAGGTGGAGTGTGGCAGGAAATCTACAGCCGCAGGAGATGCTAGCATGAAATGACAACAAGGGTCATATACTGATTAGAATCGAACATCGATACGAATAGAAAAAAATATTTTCATAACATACATATATCCGGCAGTTTTTTCCCATCTGAAATAGTTATAAACGATTTTTTTATTTATGTACATTATCGACGTTTACGGTCTTTTTTCATCAGTTTCGAATTAATTCACCTAAAACGCAGCAGCAGAGGCGCACTACTACCGTTGAATCGCGGAATTTAGTAAAAAAGGAACGTAGAACATCTTACTTTCTAAAAGTAGGGATGCTGCAGACTGTATCTGAAAAATAAAACATTTAATCAGCTTAAACGATCAGGCAAACTCTCCGAACGACTTACCTCTGGTAATCTAACTAGTAAGTCTTGAAATCTGGTCGCTTGTTGGGGATACATGTGCTGAGTGTAGACACGCAGGCAGGTCATGTAACGCTCATGGATGGTATCCAATTCACCAGTACTTGCACCACTTGCAGGTTTTGCTGCAGAATAAGAAAACAAAAATTTTTAAACTTCAAGTTTCCAACAGTCCATTTAAACCAAATTTTGCCTTAAAAGTGTTCGAAAGCGCATTTTTTCGAACTTATGGCGCTTTCGAGCCCCATCAAGGTGGTTTAACATTATTTTGACAAATGAACGAATTGCTGACAGTGACAGTCAGTTTTGAAAGCTTTCAAAAGTGTCAAATTCCAAAAAACCGTCACAGCTGGTTTGACACAGACAGCAAATTTTTTGTAGATTCCTCGAACTATCCACCATTTCCAGGCGGTTATTTTGCATTCAAAATGCCAAGAAATCGAATTTTCAAACTTTATCAAAGCCGCTCTGCTTTATTTTGACATTCATTAGGCATTTTTGACGGTGGAAGTCGAATTGCAAGCCTTTCTCGACCTACAACCACCAAAAACAGCCATGGCTACTTTGGCACATTTGCAATTCCAAAAGCTAATGTTTAGTAGATTCCACAAACAATCCACCATTTCAAGTCGTTTCTTTTGCATATAAATTGCACTTTTCAAACTCCATCAAGGCGGATCTGGATTATGTTGACGTTTATTTGACAATTTTGATAGTGGCAATAGAATTTTAAACAATTCTTGACCTGTCAAATATTAAAAGCTAATTTCCAGAAGATTCCTCAAACCATCCACCATTTAAAGGCGTTTCTTTTGCATATAAAATGACAATAAATCCACTTTTCGAAATCCGTCAAGCCGGCTCTCGATTATTTTGACTTTTATTTGACATTTTTGATAGTGGCAATATAATTTTAAAGATTTCTTGACCTGTCAAATATCAAAAGCTAATTTCCAGTAGATTCCTCAAACCATCCACCATTTAAAAGCGTTTCTTTTGCACATAAAATGACAATAAATCCACTTTTCGAAACCCGTCAAGGCGGCTCTCGATTATTTTGACGGTTATTTGACATATTTGATAGTGGCAATAGAATTTTAAACATTTCTTAACCCGTCAAATATCAAAAGCTAGTTTCCAGTAGATTCCTCAGACCCTCCACCATTTAAAGGCGTTTCTTTTCCATTTAAAATGCCAATAAATCCACTTTTCCAATTTCATCATGGCGGCTCTCGATTATTTTGACGTTTATTTGTCAAGTAACAATCGGTTTTCAACCTTTGCGGATCCCTCAAACATCAAAAGACATCTTGGCTTTCTTGACATATTTGCAATGCCAAAAGCCAATTTTTAGTAGATTCCTCGAACGATCCACCATTTCAAGCCGATTATTTACCATTTAAAATGCCACGAAATCGACTTTCAAACTCAATGAACGAGGCGTTGCATTCTTTTGACGATTGTTTGACATCATTATATGTGTCAATAGGTTTTCAAACTTTTCCGAAGCTGTCCAACAGCATTGCAATAGTGTCTTGTAAGCTGTGTATCCAAAACTCACATTTGAAAGTAGTTTCTTCGAGCCATGCACCATCTTGAGCCGTTTAATTTGCACTTAAAATGTGAAAAAATAGAATTTGTAAGCGACAACAAAGCGAATTTGCATTATTTTGACATTTTTTTCGTGTTTTAGACAGCGATAGGAGGTGTTGACAGTTTTCCCGATGCTATCAAACATCTGTCAATTATTTTGCATGTCATGAACGCAGAAATGACGTTTTAAATATTTTTTTTTATATACATTTCAACCACTTGAACGGCTTCTCCGTCACATTGTGAATGTTAAAAATAAATGTTCCTTTGTTTCTTCCGATAATTGAAAGCCGCAAGACGTTTTGTCTTCCCTCAAGATGCAAGTAGATCATTTTTTCGAACCAGATTTGGCTTTACACAAAATTGACTTTTTTGACACTGACAGGCGGTTTTAAAAGCGTCCGATTGATGTTAAGAATCTGTCAACGGTATTGCACGGATTCTAAGGTTTTTGGTATATGGTATATGGTTATTGCATTAAAAAATACAATGTCAATGTTTCTGTTGAAACCTCAAAAGACTTCTAGGCTGTTTTGGCACGTCGTGGCATTAAAAATGCCAAACGTCAATTTTGTCACAATGTCAGCTCTCCAGGATATCTCAACTCTATAAAGGCGGTTTGCCTAGCTTTTAAGCTTATTTGACACTTTAGATAGTGACAAGCGGGTTTGACAGCATCTCTCAGCCCCTCAACCAACCTGCAACATTGCTGGAAAGTTTTCCTTATGAAAAAATCTATTTTCAAGGTTTGCACCTTGATGCACCTATATCGAAAGCCTTAAGGGTGCTATAGTAAAGTTGTCAATGCCAAATGTCAATTATCATTTGTTTCTTCTTCGGAACATTGAGGATTTCAAAACGCTTAGTGACATTACTTTGCTGTCAGGAGGGAAAATGAACGAAATTACCACATTAATTGTCACCTCGTACCTGTTTTGAGTGGTTTCCATTGTGTTTTAGGTGTTTCAGAACCAGTAAAAAGGTTCCTCCATCTTTAAAGGTTTCAATATCGTATTATCAAACTGTCAATGTCAAATGTCATTTTTTCCAATAGCCTTTGAATGGTGTGTGTCGTCTTAAGATTTTGCTGTAGCTACTTGACGTTCAAGAATCAAATTAAAGGAATGCTGTCAATTTTTTAGCTATCTAAAAGCGGGTTTACCTATCTTTTAGGTGAATTTGACATTTGAGACAATGACAAGGAGCTCGAATGATTCACTGTCTGTTACGCAACTAGCAGTGTTACCGAAACGTTTTTAATGTCCTTCATGCGTTGTTGAACCCAGAAAAGACATTTGAAGGTTTGCAATGACTTATGTGACGCCCTAAAGGCTCTATAGATAGTGTCGCAATCAATGTCAAATATCAATTTTTATTTGCTTCAGAAAAACAGTTATCCTTTCAAGGCGCTGTTGCTTTCAGGAAATAAATCAACAGATTCCCCCTAGAAGTTTCCCTTAAAAGTTTTGCAAGTATAAAAATTTTTTTAGAAATTAATAACCCAGCAAAAATCTAGACGTTCATTTGTTGTCTACTTTGGTCCTTAATACGTGACGTCTTAACCAAATAGTCACGTCCTTTCAACGTCAATTTTTTGACGCTATAAATTCAATGATTGTTGTTTTTCGGGCACTTTTAGTTCCAAACCTATTTGTTCAACATGGTGCCAACTTCTAGAGGGCACGCTTAGTATGTTTTCTGAGTCTTTGAAGCATTTCACAATACTGTTGCCTCAGAACTCATGCATAATACTTCGAAACTGTTTCCATTTCCACTAAATCTCTTCGCTTTAGACCGAACCTAAGTTACGTAGTTTCAACGTCGATTCTCAGACGTTCTTGCAACGTTATACGTCTGTTTGGTTCAATTGTATGGACTTTGAACGTTCTTCAAGGACCAAGCGACTAAACTATCGAAGTGGCTTACCTTGGTTCAGCATGGTGATAACTTTAAGGCACACGTACTCCTCCATAGTGAGTTTGATCTGACGAAACATGAGCGTAACATGCGTAATCTTCTCAATCATCAGCCCCACGTCTTGGCGCAGCTGCTCTATCGTGATCTCTCGACCCATCATCGATGTGAGACAGTTCTGCAAGGTGCACAAATTCGTTTCCACCTGAAAACAAGGTAACTTCCATTCATTTTCCAGTTTTTTTTTCGTTGCACTGATGACTAAGCCATCATGTGCCAATGACAAGAATTTGCCAATGAAACCTTGCAATTAATTCCTGTGATTGTTAAGCCCCATAATTAATGAACATTATTCCCGGCACCACCCACATCGGCCGGCCATTTATGAGCAAAGTACCGTTCGATGCGTCGGTACCCGAAGACAAAAAAAGTGAAACTCCAAAGGTCGTGACGGTATCGCGGTCTAAGAATCGCAGCACTTTTACTTTCGAACCACGTCGTTGGACCCCCATTAGAAAACGGTACCATGGCGGATGGATCGACCGTCTATTACGTTTACGTAACGGTATGGTACTCTTGGTTTCCGTTGCGCAACGGTCCGATACTGTTAAATTGAGCAGTATCTAGACGCTTTTTATTTTTGGGGTCTGAGACACGTTTCCTTTCTTGGTAGGTACCACCCGAACACAGAGGCGGCTTAAAAGAGGTTCTTTTTTCGGGGGATTTTACTTTTTTCAACTGAAAAGGATTTCTGAATGCTTCGATAATATTCGACATTGTCGCGGAAGGCGGAAGTAAAACAAGATGTTAATAAGAAAACTTCCTTCTCGTACTCAAAGCCTCGTTTATCAAGAAAATGTCTTCAAAAGCTTTTTGCATGAGCAGTTTTCCACTGGAAATTTTGACTGTTTAAACAATTGTCCGCAAGGGCAAACAATGATTTCCGCCATTGATTATTAAGAAGGTGTTTACCTTTCAAATTATTTTTTGTGAGTGAGACAAGGCAAAACTCCCCAGTCGTGCATTAGACAGAGACCCAAACTAACTGAAAGTGCGCGAGTTGTAGTGTTTCTTGTCCTGTCTGTGGCATGCATTAGGCCACCTTCCTTCTCCCGTTCATCGCTGCGCACCTGTGACGCTTCAATAAGGGAGTTTGCATTTTTCTACAATAATCGTTCAGAAAAAGCCGCTCTAATTCTTCAGATTATGTTCACTATTTAATCAGCTAAACAAAAAACAAGTCGAAACAATTGAAGTACGATACTGTAAACGACAAATTAATTTGGAGAGTGGCAAACAAAGGAGAAAGTTCTTCTCGCACCTATGGAGGATGGGAAAGGAAACACCAAATTTACCAGATAGTTGCACAACGAAACTGTTTGCTACGTGAAAGGTCAAGATTGTCCAAATGGAAGCATTACACGTGCCCGAGCAAATTGCGGGTTTCTCTTTAATAGAAAAACCGCATCGGGCGGATGCGGAATCAGAAAAGTGGTACGATACATCAGAATATTTCGTAACGAAATAAACGAAGTCATTATAAAGGCATGAATAGACGACCCAATATAATGGGTGCATTTACCCGAGCGCTGTCCCAGGATGAACCCGTAACCCAGTTTCTCGTCGAAGGAACTTTACAACTTCCATTTTCCAATTACAGCAACGCTTTTCTAGCTGGCAAAGTCATTGAACTGGATCTTGGTCACGGAAATCCTTGATCTTATGGGGGGGTTTTAACGGAAATCGCAATTTCTCATACTCCAGGTGCTTAGCTGGGATCAGTTGGCAGCTTATTGAGGATACTTTGATTTAGCACATATATAAAGCCTCCAGTGTTTTCACGAACTTTTACGACATAAACGCAGAGGTTTTGAAACACGTCTACGTTTGACTGGGGATTTTTTTCGAATTATCTTGGAAGCTTACGGACGCAAAATTGACGCTTTTAATTAAGTGCACTGTCGCATTAAAAACTCCGCATTTTCCGAACTAAAGTCAGCAGCAACTTGAAATTTTCATTGTCTTCATAAATCAGTTGAGTCTAAAGATGCCAAAAGTTTTAATAACCGCTGGAAGTACAGAGTTTTGTCAGCTTAGCAACTATTGATCTCCTAATGAAACAGGCAGGAATTTTATATTTTTACTATATTTACAAGATTGCTGACACTAAAGATCCAAAAAAGTTTATTGCGGTAAATTCTGATTTCATCGAGCTTCCAAGTTTCGTCTTCACAAAGGACGGTTTTACGCAACTGCACTCTCTTCTTTAAAAAGTCGCATTTTTCAATCTAAAGCAGACAGGAATTTAAAATGATCACCATGTCTCGAAGATGCTTGACTCTACCGGTGTTGAAAGTGTCATAAAAACTACTCGAAATTCTTATTTTTTTAAACGCCAGCAAGCAGCTATCTGAAATTTTCACAGTTCTTAGCAGATTCTTGACTCTAAAGATTTTATAACTTTTGATAAAGTTTTATCAAAAGTTCAGTAAAACCTGGTTTTTGCTAGCTCAGCAAATATCGGTCTCATAACGGACGATTCTACCCACCTGCACGTTCTCTTAAAAAAAATTGCATAATTCAAAGTAAAGCAGGCAGAAATTTGAAATTCACACCATTTTAAGAAAATGGTTGACTCCAAATATTTCATCACCGCAAAATTTGATTTTTTCCAACAGACGGTTTTAATCAATTGTTTAAAAAATCGTATCTTAAAAATGGAGGCAGGTAGCAACTTGAAATTTTCAGTATATTTAGAAAGCACGTGGCGGTAAAACGCACAAAAGTTTCACAGAAATCCCAGGTAATTTTTATTTTTAGCAATTGAGCGAAATCAGTCTCCTAATGTTCGCTCTCACCCAACTATACTCCCTACATAAAAAATTTGCTTCTTCTAAACAAATTAAAACTGATATTATTAGAAACTACTTGACTGTGAAAACCTAGAAAGTCTTGTAAAAATCGATGCAGATCCTGATTTTTGCCAGTTTATCTTATCGGTCTCAAAATGGGCGCTTTTACCGAACTGCACTTTCTCCTCAAGATCATCGTGTCATTTAAACTGAAGCAGCCGGGAATTTAAAATTTTCACAATATTTCCAAGACACTTCGTTCTAAAGATTCTAAAAGTTGCGTAAAAACACTGGACAATTTGACATTGTCCATATTAGCAAATATCGGTCTTCTAATGGTCGCTTTTAACCAACTGCAGTTTATTCTTTAAAAAATCGCATCATCTGAACTGAAGCAGGTATCAACTTGAAATTGTCACCATATTAAGAACGCAGATGGCTGTAAACACCCAGAAAGTTTAAAAGAAATCGTCGGAAATTCCAAGTTTTTTCGATTGAACAAATATCGATCTCAGAATGGGCGCTTTTACCCAACTCACCCTCTCTTTAAAAAATCGTATACTGCAAACGCATATAGGCATTTGAAATTAAAACCATCCCTAGAAAATAGTTGACTCTAAGGATCCGAAAAGTTTCATAAAAATTACTGGGAATTCGGAATAACAAAAAAAGGTTTTCTCGTATATTCAAGCTCAGCAGATATTCTCCTAGGAGCGGCATTTAGTCAACTGGGAACGCTACTTAAAAAATTCTTAACTTCCAGACTAAGGTAACTTGACATCAGGAAACGTCACTGTTTTTAGAAGAAACACGACCCTAAAGATGGTCAAAGTTTCATAAAAATTGCAAAGAATCTTGATTTTTGCCAGCTTTCGAAAATCGATCCAGCTACCAACTGGGCGATCTCCGTAAAAAAATCGTAGCTTCCAAACTAAAGTTCCAGTTTTTATCAGATACTTGGATCTAAAAATGGTGAAAGTTCCATAAACATTCTAGTAAATCTTGCTTTTTTCTGGCTTAGCAAATATCTGTCGTTAAATTTACGCGTTTACCCAACTGAACTCTCTATTTAAAAAATTGTACAATTCCAACTAAAGCAGGCATTAATTCGATATTCACACCTTGTTTAGCAAACAGTCGATTCGGAGGATCTTGAAAGTTTCATAAAAAATATTTGCAAATTATGTTTTATTCGAGCTTGGCGATTATCCGTTTCATAATAGACGCTTTTATACAACTGCAGTCTTCTTTGTACAAAAATGCGGCAATTCCAACTGAGGCAGCCAGAAATTTAAAATTTTCACCAAATGTCGAAGATACTTAATTCTAACAATTCTGCAAAAAGTTTTCACAAAATTCTAGAAAAACTAGAAATTCTGATTTTTCCTTGCATAGCACATATCGGTCTCCTAATAGACGCTCTCACACAACTGCGCACCCTCCTTAAAAAATCACAACTTCTTCACTAAAGCAAATAAACATCAGGAAATTTCACTGTTTTTAGAAGAGACTTTACTCTAAAGATGGTGAAAGTTCCAAGAATATTGCAGAAAATTTTGATTTTTTCTTGCCTTGCAAATATCGGTCATCAAATGAACGCTTTTCCCAACTGCACATATTCAAAAAAATCGTGTAATTAAAACTAAAGCAGACAGGAACTTGCAATTTTTACGATATTTAGAACCCAGTCGACTCCGAAAATCTCCGAAAATTTTGATGTTTTTCAACATATATCGGATAACGGACTCATAATGGACGCTCTGACCCAACTACACTCTCTTCTGAAAAAAAATCGTACAGTCTAAACTAAAGTAAGCAGCAGTCTAAAATTTTCCCTATCTTTAGAAGACGCCGGAATCTAAAGATATAAAAAGTGTCATAAAAATCGCAGAAAATCCTGATTTTTTCCAGCTGTTTAAATATCGGTCGCATAATGAACGATTTTACCCACCTGCACTCTCTCTTTAAAAAAAATTGTATAATTCAAACTAAAGCAGGCATAAATTTTAAATTCACACCATTTTAAGAAAACAGTTGGTTGCAACTATGTTAAAAGTTTCATAAACATCATCACAAAGTTTGATTTTTTCTGGCTTAGCAAATATCGGTCTTCCAATACACGCTTTTAATCAACTGTGCTCTGTCCTTTGAAAAATCGTGTCTTGAAAATCAAAGCAGGTAGCAACTTGAAATTTTTGGAATCTTTAGAAAGCACTTGACGGTAAAACTCTAAAACGTAACTAAAAAAGTTTCAAAGAAATCCTAGTAAAGGTCTCCCAACCCAAGGCAAGGGACAAGTTGGTAATTTCAACATCGTTAGAAGATACTTCAGTCTACAAACTTGACAAGTTTTATACAAATTTTCGAAAATCCTGATTTTTTTCAGCTGAGCAATTATCGGTCTCATAATGTCGGCTTTAACCCAACTGCACGCTCTCCTTAAAAAAATCGTACCCTTCAATCCAAAGCAGTCAGGAACTTGAGTTACGTCCCATACTTAGATGACACTTGACTCTAAAGATCCTGAATGTTTCATAAAAATCAACGAACGTACTGGTTTTTGCACCAGTCTCATGGACGTGTTGCCTTTAAAAAATCGCAGCTTGCAAACTAAAGCGAGCAATAACTTAAAATTTGCACCACCAAAGGAGCCACTCGACACTAACTATTCCGAAAGTTTGATAAAAATCATCCAGAATCCTTCCAGTCAACACGTGCTTTGCCTTCAGGAAGCAAACACTCTTTCCCCGATTTTTCCATGCCGCCACAACTGAGCGACATTTCATCTGGCGTACGCCACTTGCAGCTTTCGAAAAATAAAAGATGCATCGAATAGACGTCCTCAAATGAGTGCGTTTACCCCATCGTATCTAGAACGTAGACGCTGACCTAATTCCGCGTGCGGAAGTAACGACGAACAAGCCAATTTAAAATATCGACCAATTTTTTATTTTTTATTTCATCAAGTTTGATTTGCAAATAATAGATAATAGACTATTTGGGTCACAATGCGCAAGGACTTGTTTACCGGCAATGATATGAAAGGTGAATACCACCGAATTGGAACGCGATGTTCGAAGCCATGGATGCACTCACCTCTTGGCTAAAGTCCGGCTCTATCATTGTGGAGGAGGTTTGCAGCTGTTGTTCGCTGGCCGCCTTCTGGATGGCCTGGTAAGCCGAAGTGGTAAGCACCAACAGTTCATGCCATTTGTGTGTCAGCAACCGCGTATGGACTTCGACCGGTAGCTCCAAGTAGAAGGGCAGCCTAAACAACACTCAACTGCCATTATCAGCCTTCAATCGTTTTCCCCACTTTACCTCTTAGTCCATTGCACCAATTTGTACACAATCGAGTCCCCAATATTACACAGCTTCTCGCTCAGATCCGTATTATGATCCAGAAGTTCGTCCAGGTTCCGCAAGGTCGCAATATCCTGAAACTCATCACAGTCGATCAGGGTCTTGATCATCGACAGAGCGTATTCCACCGAAAACGTTCTGTCCCGCGAGCTGGACACGGCGCTGTCCAGGCGCTGGCGCAGCCGAATCACCTCGCTCGGATTGGTCAGAGCTGTCTTCAGAATGGTACCGTTCACTGGAAAGAAACTGTTCAATTTAGCAATTTCGCTGCCCTGCCAGCTCAAGACGTTCTACCTAGATTCGGCGGAATTCCTGCAGGCTGTAGCTGCTGCTGCTGTTGCTGCTGCTGCTGTTGTTGCTGTTGCTGCTGCTCCTTGAACTGCTGCATGCTCTTTTCCTGGTTTTTTGTCACCGCTTTGCTCGGCTTTTTGTGCTTTTTATACTTGACTTTGTAGAGATTGTATACAGCGCCGCTGTTCCGACCTCCGGGCATTCGATCCTCTCGAACAGCTGCAAAAAGAGGAAAAGAATCATTTCACACCCATTAAAAAAAACCTGCCTCGTATTCCACCCAGTATATTTTTTATAGATTCAGTCTGTATTTTTAATGAATTTCTGATTTGAAACTTCGGAACTTCTCAAGCTTAAAGAATTGAAACAGCTTTAAAATATAGAGGGTGGTTTTTAAGTGTTTCAAATTTCCGCATGTAATGGCTCTTCTTATACAGGGTGTCCCATAAGCTCATGAGCAAAAGGACACTGCAACATTCCTTGGGTTAACAGACAACGACATGACCTAACTTTTATAAAAAAAACTGTCTGGCTCCCTTGCTACTGATGGTCAAAATTCTTCTAAAAAATTACGTTTTTCGAAAATCAGGCGATTGATTTGATGGATTTTAAAAAGAAAACTCGCTGCGAGTTTGTTCTTATGTAAACGACTCATGTTTCGATGAAGTAACCGAGTTAATCTGCTTTGGAAAAGTGATTAATTCCAGAGGTACAAAAGCTATCGGAACTTTTTAGTTTATCGTTGAAATCAACTCATTTTTTTTTAGTGGACGCACAGATTCTGTTTAGACATTTTTGTGGCCTTTTAATTGTGAAGCACTTTCTAATTATCAAATAGCAAGGAAAGAGAAAGCATTTTAAGCACACACGCAAGTTCATTTCAGTTAACTAAATAAAAAATGTGGGTATACTAATACCCGAAAGAAAAATGTATGCAATATTTGTCTGCTATTTTTTTCTATGATTCAAACACCCTGTACAGGCTGAGCGCTTTTATATGTCTCCTTTGTTTTTTTGCTTATGAAATACAGCCATTTCAACTTTATTCTTCGGCTCGTTCATCATTGGAACTAAGTGTTTAAAAATGGTATTTACATTTTTAATAGAAAATCACTTGTGTGAGTATGTAAACATAAGTAGAATCTTCCTCTACCCTGTGTGGATATTTACGGGGTGTCTCAAAGAAGTTACCGTATTTTCTTTTTGTAGTAAATATGGTAATTTAGGCTTACTCGTAATATTTGATTTAAAATTATAAATAAATAAAATTAGCGTCATATTATCCTAATAAACACGCATATTTGAAAAATATTCACAATTATACAGAGTGCATTGGAAAAGTTGCAGCGCAAAAAAAGCTTTTTTCTAATGGCATACCATATACATAATTTAATTTTTTAATTCTTCTGAAAAAAATGTTTTTTTGTTATACAAATTATGAAAGAAAATTGCTTAGTTTGTAAGTGATTCGGTTGTAACAATGAAAATTCACATTTTTATAGTGGCATTAAATCCTAGCATACGGCTGGTAAAATATCTGTATTCAAACTACAGGAGAGTCATAATATTCATTCGATTTTCAAGCGCGAAAATAGAATTTCATGTTTTTTCTATGAACGGTTTAGTCAACTCTAAAGAATTGTATAAATCAAGCGAAAGCCGGCAGGATTTTGAAATTTGAATCATACTTATAGCACAGTCGACTCTAAATATATGGAGAGATTCCTAAAAATCGCTGGAAATCCTGATTTTTCCTAGCTTAGCAGTAGTGCTGCTGCTGTGCTGTTCGTTCTTCTAACAGACGCTTTTACTCAGCTGCGCGTCTTCCTTAAAAAATGTGCAACTTGCAAACCGACGCAAAAAGATACCAGAAAGTTTCACAGCTTCTAGACCTGACATGACTCTAAAGATGGTGAAATTTTTATCAAAATTTCAGTAAATTCTGATTTTTTCTAGCTTAGCAAATATTGGCGATCAATCAATGAAAACATTTCGATTTCATAATGGGCGCTTCAATCAACTGCGTTTCGTACTTAAAAAAATCGCATCTTAAAAATGGACGCAGGTAGAAAATCGAAATTTTCGCTATATTTAGAAAACACTTGGCGGTAAAAATACAGGAAGAATCATGAAAATCCTCGGAAATCTTCGTTGTTTGCAGCTGAGGAATCAGTCTCCTAATGTTCACCCTTACACAACTACGCCCCCTTCTTTAAAAAAATCGCGTCTTCTAAACAACAAGCCAAAACTGTCAATCTTTTGAAAATGTTTGACTAGGAATGGAACCGCTGGAAGTCCACAGTTTTGTCAGCTTAGAATTTTATATTTTTACCATATTCAAAATATTCGCGACTCTAAAGATCCAAAAAAGTTTATAAAATTGCCGTAAATTCTGAATTTTTCTAGCTTATAAATATCGTCCTCATAAAGGACGGGTTTACCCAACTGCACTGTCTTCTTTAAAAAATTGCATTTTTCAATCTAAAGCAGACAGGAATTTAAAATTATCACCATGTTTTGAAGACGCTTGCCTCTACCGGTGTTGAAAGTGTCTTAAAAACCACTGGAAATTCTGATTTTTACTAGCTTACCAAATATCGGTCTCAGAACGGACACTTCTACCCACCTGCACTCTCTCTTTAAAAAAATTCTATAATTCAAAATAAAGCAGGCAGAAATTTGAAATTCACACCATCTTAAGAAAACAGTTGATTGAAAATATTTTAAACGTTTCATAAACATCACCGCAAAGTTTTATTTTTTCTGGATTAGCAAATATCGGTTTTCCACTAGACGCTTTTTATCAACTGTGCTCGGTTCTTTAAAAAACCGTATCTTGAAAACTGAAGCAGGTAGCAACTTGAAATTTTCAGTATCTTTAGAAAGCACTTGCCGGTAAAACTCACAAAAGTTTCATAGAAATCCCAGAAAATTTTGATTTTTGGCAGCTGAGCTGATCAGAGAGAGCAGATGAGAGATCAGTCTCTTAATGTTCGCTCTCACCCAACTATGTTCCCTTAGAAACGACTTCACTGTGAAAACCTAGAAAGTCTTGAAAAAATCGACGCAGATCCTGATTTTTGCCAGCTTAGCTTATCGGTCTAAAAATGGGCGCTTTCACCGAACTGCACTTTCTCCTTAAGAGCATCGTATCATTTAAACTGAAGCAGACTGAAATTTAAAATTTTCACAATATTTCCAAGACATTTCCCTCTAAAGATTCTAAAAGTTTCATAAAAACACTGGACAATTTGACATTGTCTATCTTCTATCTAGCAAATATCGGTCTTCTAATAGTCGCTTTTACCCAACTGCACTCTATTCTTAAAAAAATAGCATCATGTGAACTAAAGCAGGTATCAACTTGAAATTGTCACCATATTTAAAACGCAGATGGCTGTAAATATCCAGAAAGTTTAAAAGAAATCAACGGAAATTCCAAGTTTTTTTGATTCATTTTTTTGATTTAACAAATATTGGTCCCATTATGAACGCTTTTACCCAATTCACTCTCTCTTTAAAAAATCGTATACTGCAAACTATTGCAAACCGGCGTTTGAAATTAAAACCATACTTGGAAAATAGTTGAGTCTAAAGATACTAAAAGTTTCATAAAAATTTCTGGAAATTCGAGAAAAAATTTTTTTTCGGATATTCAAGCTCGGCAGGTATTCTCTCTGGCGCTACTTAAAAAATTCTAATTTCCCGACTAAGGTAACTTAATATCAGAAAACATCACCATTTTTAGCAGAAACCGGACTCTAAAGATGGTCAAAGTTTTATAAAAATTGCAGTGAATCTTGATTTTTACTAGCTTACGAAAAACTTGGTAGATCCAGCTACCAACTGCGCGATCTCCGTAAAAAATGTGTATCTTCCAAACTAAAGCAACTAGCTATTTTAAAATTTTCCAGTTTTTAGCAGATACTTGGCTCGAAAGGTGGTGAAAGTTCCATAAAAATTCCAGTAAATCTTGATTTTTTTCCGGCTTAGCAAATATCTATCGTTAAATGTAGGCGTTTACCCAACTGCACATTCTTTTAAAAAGATTGTACAATTCAAACTAAAGCGGGCAGTAATTTGATATTTACAACCTGTTTGGCAGACATTCGATTCTGAAGATCTTAAAAGTTTCATAAAAATCTTTGCAAATTATGTTTTATTCGAGCTTGGAGATTATTCGGTTCATAATGGACGCTTTTAGCCAACTCACTCTCTCTCTTTAAAAAAATTCTATACTTCAAACTAACGAGGGCAGGCATTTGAAATTAAAAACGTATTTAGAAAATAGTTGACTCCAAAGATCCGAAAAGTTCCATAAAAATTACCAGAAATTCGAAAAAGAAAAACTCTTCTTAAAGCCTAATTTACTCAACTTCAAGCCCTTCTTTAAAAATTTCCAATTTCTATACTAAAGCAAGTAGACATCAGAAAGCTTCTGTCAAACTCTGAGGATGCTGAAAAATTGAAAAATTCAATCCCAGGTTTTGAACAAAAAGACAAAAAAAATTATAATTTTTTTTTATAGAAAATCACCCAGAAAACCCTACATGAACTTATATTTGTGCAAATAACTCGAAAACGAACACAGATAGGCAAAAACTGCTAGAGATTAGAAAATTCTTAAATTGAACAACAAATGTAAAACTGTGTTCGGTCGAAGTCAGTGGTGCACCACAAAAAAGTTCGGGGAGGTAAAAGGGGTATGCCTCTAGAAAAAAGAACACCCTGTAGATTTTCACAACCAGTCGCCATACCTGCGGATAAAGGCTCTAAACAGTAGCCTACGTTAAAAATTTGAGCAAAATATCTCATAAATTGTAGGAGTTAAAGAGAAAATTCCAAAAATTTTTTTAAACTTTAACACCCTGTATCTCGTTAATCGTGGGCCGGAGAAAAAAACTTAAATGGAAACTCCATTTGTTTTGAGGTCCTCTACACGCCCTTCTCTGTGTCCATAAGGTTGTACATCACCCTGTATAACTGTGTTAATCTCTGCAGGGTTTTACAATTTAATACATAATTTGCTGTAGGTAAATCTTTTCTGGCTAAATAAATTATTAAATATCAATCTCATAAAGGACGTTTTTAATCAACTGTGCTCTTCTTCTATAATTCTATTCTACCACCGACCGTTGGGACACCCTGTATATTTTGATACCATTAGATAGCCCTACTCCTACCGAGCTTCCCCTGCTTGGGCCCAAGGGCGGATCCAGGGGGGGCGTTATCCCCCCCCCTTGTGCTGCGTTTTTAACGACTAACGAGAATTTTGACCCCCCCCCTGACTCAAAAGCTGGATCCGCTTCTGCTTGGGCCCTACTCTTCCTAACCTAACCATATATTGAAAATCTGCGTCATTCTTTTCAAGAGAGTTCTGTAGGCAAAACACCCCCAGAGGAGTGAGGAATGACGCCTAACTCGAAGCACCCTACGCAGGCTCCATAGGCGCAAATGGTACCTACCTTGCAAGACCATCCCCTGCTCGATGCATTTCTTGAATCGACAGTACTGGCACCGGTTTCGCTGCGCCTTCGTGATTTCACAGTTACCATCTGCCACACACGTGTACACTCTTCGGTTCTGAACCGTCCGTTTAAAGAACCCTTTGCACCCTTCACACGTTATGATGCCATAGTGGAGCCCCGTCGCCTTGTCCTCGCAAATCATGCAGATCATAGGCTGCTCCTCCTCCTCGCCCTGCTCGGGGGGCTCGTTGCTAGCACTGGGCTCGCCCAGCCCCAACCCCATCAGCCGCAGATTCGAACCGCCCGGGAACAGATTCTGAGGCGTCAGCCCCGTGGGCGAGGTGAGATTTAGGGCTTGCGTCTGCTGCGTTAGCGGGATTTGCCGCAGGTCGCCCTCCCACAGCCTCTCCATGTTCAGCGGCGCGGTGGAGAGGTTGGGGATCGATTGAGACGGGGACTGCATGGACCTGCTGACTGGGATTCGCCCCAACCGATTATCCTGCCCCAGGTTGAGCAGCATTTGCGCAGCGCTTTCCTCAGGGTTCGAAATGGGGCTGCCCGCCGCGGGCCAGCTGGAGGTGGTGGGAAACAGGGGCGGATCCACTCCGGTAGGAGACGTGGGTGTGGTGCAGAGCGTGGGCTGGGACCAGATCATCGTCCTCACTCCTCCAGCCTCACCCATTATCACTGTGGGTGTTTGCCTGACTGGCATGCTGGTGGTCGTCCTAGGCATGGGGCTGCTTGGGGAGCGCAAGTCTGGAACATGCGTAGGCGACGTGGCTCCAAAGCTGCCCCCTATCAGCTCCGGCTTCACTCCGTTGATGCGCTGATGTTTCAGCCACAGCTGGCTCTGAACCAGCGAGGCCTGCGGTTGGCTGATTATGACGCCCCGTTGCCGCGACTGCATGAATGGCAAATTGGGATTGGAGGGCGACTCGCAGCCCATCGGCATGGTCGGTGTCAGGTTCCTAGGCGGACTGGGCGTGGTCGGGTGAAGCAAGAGAGGCGCATGTTTGATCACAGGACTGGTATTAGCCGGTCGCCCCGGGGAACTGTGCGGCCTTGGCGGCTGCGATGGACTGAAAGGGGGCGCCGGCCTTAGGGCTGGCGGGCTCTGGCTCCGCAGGCTCCGGATCACGCTGGCCGTCGCTCCAGAGTTGGCCGATCCGGTCGTGCCGCCTCCATCGAACACCCCGGAATCTTCCAGCCGGTTCGAGACCTTGTCCAGCGTGGGTTCCGGCTTGATCAGCTGCTGATTGGGCGTCGAGTCCGGACTGGGCGGGTTGTTAAGGGTGCCGTCCGACATTTTCGGCGATGATGGAATGATGAGATCTGGCGAAGACGTGCTGGTATCGGCGACCGATTCGCCTAGAAGCGGACAGAGTCATTGCCTAAAAGCAAATTTGATGATGGCTGCCTATACTCAAACTTACATTAAAATGGAAGTGCAGAGGTTCGAGACACTTATTAAAACTACAACTCAAACACTCCCAAGCTATACCTACTTGGAAAAATATTGCCTGTTGCGACATTGCCAAGTTTCCGAAATAGTCCCTAAAATAGGCCTAGGTAACACTGTGTTGAGTTGCGCTATTGAGTTGTCGCTCTCTGAGTTATAACTGCGTTCAAAGAAAGTCGACGAGTTTTCTTGTAAAATCGATCTCTTCATTTTTTTCCATAAAAGATTCAGTTTGCCAGTATTTCACAGTAAAACGTTAGGAAAAACGCGGCTTTTCTGTTTAGAGACAGTGTTGTTTAGAAATATTGACCTAAAAGTGAAGAAACTCCAGTTTCCAAGAGTTTTCCAAGTAAATAATTATAAACTTTCGCTTTTTCGAAAAAAGTTTTTGTAAAATTACAAAGTTATAAATTTATCTTGTAATTTATTTTTTTTCTGGGTGGAAACTAAAGCAAAAAAATTCAGTCAAATCTAAAAAATCACATTTTTTAACAAATTCTATAGTCTTCAGAGGAATGGAGGTGACTAGATTTTCAAATATTATATATTTAGAAGAAAAAGTAACTTGAACTGAAATTTGAAGGCATTTTAAAAATATCATTCATAAATTGCCTTTAAAATAAATCTAAAACAAGTGAAAAAAAGTCATCAACATTTTCCCAGCTACTGAACTGAGTTACTACGCCGGCGCGTCAGGTTGGCGCCGCAAGCTATTTGCGCAGCACTGCGCCAACTCCTAAAAATCCACTGAGTTACCCAGGCCTACCCTACAATACTTTAAATTGGATAATATTTTGATACTTGAAAACTTGCCCCTATCTTTAGTACTGAATGCGAGAAAATTATCAAAAATGGACGTTTCCTTAGAAAAAATTGATTTTGGCCGGTTTCCTCAACTCTATTTTGAAGTTTACTTTTTTAGCACTTTGTATTAATAGTAAGTCCTCTTCAATAAGGAACGCGACTCTAATTAAGTAACACATATTGCCTTTTAGGAAAAACTATGCCTTGTGCAGGTGAAACACAGTGCTTTGCGTTATACTGGGTGTTTCCTATGAGCGCGCCCCAATTCAAGAGCGCAAAATGGTTTCTGAGATAAAAATCTGGCTAGTGGATTTTCAAATCTTTAACTAACCAAAGCTGGGAGTATTTGAGCATTTTTCAAATTAGAAACTTGATCAATTTACCGTCACTGCTGCATCTTGAGTCAACCTTTCTCCTTTTCAATTTCAGATCTTGGAAAAGGCTCATCTTGTCGAGCTCACACGGGGTACGCGTAAGGGTCATAATTCCTGAAACAACGAAAAACAGATCGGTTAAATCACTTGAATAAAAAAAATTTTGTGATAAACTAAGCCAAAGGTTATTTTTTGAGAGTAAATAATCACGAACTTACAGAGTGTTCGACCGTGGATCGGCTGACGCCGAGGCTAATTTGAGCACCAAAACAAAATCAAACACCACATCGTTCAACCTTCGATGTAAGCTTAGAAATAAAATGGAATCTCCATTAACCCAGGTTATTATTTACAATGTCAAGCAATCTAGCAGCTTTGAACAAGCGCATTCTTGCTCCAATCCACGAATCGACAGCAAAAGATGCAAATCACTTGGAGCTAGATCGGGACATTTTGGCGGTCCTCTTTGAGGTGTGAGGAACTTTGAGATTTCGGCAATTAATTTGGTGATAGGACGACAAAATGCAAACAAAATTCAAGCAATCTGACACCCCGGCTGGCGCTATTCAGGTTACCTTGCATCGGTTTATTCCTGTTTCCCGGTCGTTGCTCCAGGAATAAATAGGTCAGGCGTGTAGTTAAGAAGTGTAGGAAGGACCTTAGCAAGTCTACGGGGGCAGGCGGAAACGTACGGTGAATGAATACAAGTTTGCTCATCTATTCGGATTCGAAATCGGTTCAGCTAGCAATAAGAGAATCGCATTAATTATCGGGTTATTCGTATTAAGGACAAGACCATGAAACCAGGAGCGTTTCAAAACCGCGACCGTAAACCGGTCAAAACCCGCGATGGATTTCATGCGCAATGCGCCAATAATAATAATAATGATAATAATAATAATACAATTGGAAATTTTCGGCATAATGATCGCACCATGGAGGCTTTCACTTTTGCATCACACATCGGCCGAATTTCGTAATTCGAAACAGCTTAAAACCTATTCAGTTTTGGCAATATCAAGGTTGCCTGAACATTGACTTTGCCCGTTTCCTAATTGATGGTTTCGAAAATTAACCTCCACCATTGTTTCATATCAGCTCGACGTTGCCGCACCTCCAATCAATCAGATCATACATGTTCAGGTTCTGTAAACAATCCGCACCAATCACCCTTCCATCAGTGCCCATTCGACTGGCAATTGGACTCCAGGTGTGCCAGATTTGGCCCCTCTTGACTTTGCCTTCATCTGCTTGATGCCTATTCAGTTCCCTGAGTGGAGTGATTTTATAAAATCACCGGCAACATCACCGACCGTTTGCTTTTTACTTTCGCCTGGGTCGATGACTGCTAAGGCAAAACTAGGACATGAGCAGATGGCGCAACATTTTTTTTCGAATTTTGCCTTCGTGTTGGATTACGCATGGTAGGAAGCAGCGGCATTGTGTGAAAACGAAACAGTCAGGTGGAGCAAAGTCTGGACGGCGAGCCGGCCCACCACCAGGTCTGGAAACGGTTGGCCAATGAGGGGATTTTCATGAAACGTTTCGGATGAACGCGCGCCAGTTTCGCATTATTTGCCATACCATAAATAAACAAATTATGCAAAACGAATTCGGATTTATAAAAATATTTGAGACGGTTAATGCATTTTCTGCAATTTACTTCTTATGTAAATCGGACGGTTATGTGGCGATCGTGTATCTAACAGGAACTAAGCCTTGCATGGTATGGTGATGTAACTGGGCGAAAGCACCTTTTTCTTCGTTTGCTCCGAGACGAACGATTTGTTTCATGTATTTGAAGACAAATCAAGGTGTCTTGGCAGGTCCTCTGGAGCCCACTAGGAGTTTGAAGGAGACGGCCGTTTGAGCCTCAAACGATATTATCTAGTTTTTCCTCCTGGTTAGCAAGCAACAAAGCTACCTAACAAATGAAATATTCAGTGCTTTGCACATTAAGAAGACCAAATTCTCTTTGAGTATTTCCAGTGTCTCATGTTGGCGCAAATTTGATAATGTTGAAGTATTCTTAGGGTACATTTAGACAGAAAGCAGTAAAAGATGCGTGGTAGCGAGAAATTCAGTGCTTCACGCCTTAAGAGGGTCAATTTTTCTTTGAGCATTTCGAGTGCATTATAATAGAAAGCAACAAAAACAACCTTCAACTTGAAAAAAATCAGCGTTTGGCACCATAAGATGGTCAATTCCTTTAAGGAACGGTTGATTTATTTCGACCAATCCTAAAGACGATTTTGATATAAAGTAACGAAAACTGCCTGCAAATGGACAAATCAAGTGCTTTGCACTTTAAGAGGGCCAATTTCTTCTTGAGGATTTCCAGTGCAGTGTTTTAAGGCACGGTTGAATATTTTCGACTGGTCCTAAGGACGATTTCGATAAAAAGTAGCGAAAACTGTGTTTAAATGAACAAGTTAAGTGCTTTACACCTTAAGAGGGCCAGTTTCTTTTTGAGGATTTCCAGTGCAGTGTTTTAAGGAACGGTTGAATATTTTCGATTGGTCCTAAGGACGATTTTGATGGAAAGTAGCGAAAACTGTCTTTAAATGAATAAATCAAGTGCTTTGCACCTTAAGAGGGCCAATTTCTTTTTCAAGATTTCCAGTGCAGTGTTTTAAGGAACGGTTGAATATCTTCGGCTGGTCCTAAGGACGATTTTGATAGAAAGTAGCGAAAACTGTCGTGAAATGGACAAATCAAGTGCTTTGCACCTTAAGAAGGCCAATTTATTTTCGCGGATTTCTAGTGCAGTGTTTTAAGGAACGGTTGAATATTTTCGACTGGTCCTAAGGACGATAGAAAGTAGAGAAAACTGCCTTTAAATAAACAAATCAAGTGCTTTGAACCTTAAGAGGGCCAATTTCTTTTCAAGGATTTCTAGTGCAGTGTTTTAAGGAGCGGCTGTATATTTTCGACTGGTCCTAAAGACGATTTCGATAGAAAGTAGCGAAAACTACCTTTAAATGAACAAACTAAGTGCTTTGCACCGTTAGAGAGTCAATTTCACTTTGAGCATTTCCAGTGCAGCCTTTTGGGGAACGGTGGAAATGCACTAGAAACCTTGAACCGTCTTGAAGTGAAGAAATTCAGTGCTTTGCACCTTGAGACCGTCAATTTCTCTTTGAGCATTTTCAGGGCAGCGCTTGGGCGAAAAACGTTTCAAGATTAAGGCATACCTGGAAAGATTCCATATCTGGAAAGCCGCTTAAAACATTCGCACAGACCTAAGGACCAAGTTGATATAAAGCACAGGCAACTACTTATATGTGCAAAAATTTAGTGCTTTACGAGTGTTTGGTCSCAAAATTGTTCAAGGTTTAGGGAGCAAATTGGTCTAGAAGAAAACCTTGAGATATTGCGCATCTGAAAAGCCATTTTTGAGCACTTCTATTTCAGTGTTTTGGAAGCGCAAAACTCCCCAAAGTTCAGAGAGACAATTGAAAGATTCCATATCTGGAAAACGATTCAAAATCTTCCATTAATCCCAAGCGCAATTTTTATTGAACTTACTGGAAATTGTTGTGGTGAAACATCAGGATCGGCAATTTCTTAAATAATCATGAAAAATGCACGGACAAACATAACAAAAACAACGACTTCAAAAAACTGCGCTAGTTCCAGCAAGTTTCAGTAGGACAATATCCAGAGGCAAAGTAAGAAACATTGAAAGCTTTCATTCACTTTAATGGAAGATTGGAAGAGAATCGTCTCCAAATCAATCTAGACAATTAATCAAGGCAGGTGATGATGTGCCAATTCCTTCTAGTTGAAAGTTGCCCATTAACAGTTGCATAATGACAATCTAACAGCAAAATAGAAGCAGGTAAGTGAGCTGCATTGCACGATAATGATGTAAAGAATGAAAGTGGCCAATAGGAATCCGACGACGGCGAATCAGGAAATGCAAGTTGCTACTTTTCACTCGTTGCGTAATTTATCGAATAGATACTGTTGATCTACTTTCGGAAAGGTCTGTCACCTTTCGAGAGCGAGGAATGCGGTTAGACTTGCCATTAATCGAATGAACAGGAAAATGTGTAGGCATTTGCTTTCCTGAGCATTTTCCTGATTGAAATTTCAAAATTTTTTCGTGCAATTTCAAATCCCAAATTGCACGCTTTTCTTAGCTTCCAAAGCAATGCAAAGCTGAATAAACGGGGTTGGGTGGGTTTGAATTTTTCGGTGGCTAAACGTTTACTGGTGGCCGCAGGCAAAATTCCTCACTCTTTGGCAATGAGATGAGTGAATTATTCTGCGAGCGCAAGATGCGCGTCTTTGGCCGGCAAGGTTGACTTATTGCGTCTTTTGCTGCTGAATGGGCTCAAAGCCCGGGAAGCGTTGAGGGTGCATATGAAAGTGAGTGGACTTACCCAGAGACGACATTTTTGTCCATTTATCCAACGTGGAAGAGTCACAAAAAAATCTGCCGAAACGTTACATGTTGGCACTGGAAAATGCGCACGTAAACAATGTGAGTCCGACGAAGGAAAAGCGCTGTTTAGTTCCCGCGCAAATCGGAGCCCCTACGTCAGACCGCAACAGCTAGATGGTAAGGTAGAGCGCGATAATATCGACGTCGTAGAATGCTGCATCCATCTAGCCGTAACGGTAAAGTGTGTACTACAGATCCAGCTAGAGAGGCAAAAGCTCGTTCGCGCTACCTCAGGTGCAAAGTAGGCCACCAACTGCATGTGTGCCTAGCAAAAAGACAGTAGAGAGTGAAACGGACCTCGAGTGGGGTAACCGACTGCTACTACCATCTTCCTGCTCGGTTCTGAGGCCCGAATGTGGGAGGTTCCGTGGCTGTCGCTTTTGTTTACGTCTTTTCCTTTCTATTTTCAAATTACCGACCAATTTTACGTAACGGCTCGTAAGCGAATTGTTTATACAATGTTCGGTTCGCTACTAAACACTTTCTACTCATTAGTGTTATAAAATCGCTATTATCGGCACCTACAAGGGAACCAGCAAAAGTTCATCGCCTATTCCCCCCCTGCTGCTGCCTGCAATCCACAGCTCTATTGGTTCGCGGCTTTCTCCTCATCCAACGAGAATCTTGCCACCAATCCAACAAACTCTCGATGGGCTTCCAATGG